TATGGAATGAAATAGCCTCACTTGTTTTATGGTTTGGTTTAGTTCCAGTTTTTTTTCCAGACAAAAGAGGTTTGGCTTTTTTTTTCTTGTGGCTTTTATTTTGAGGTTTTTGGGGGTTTTTGGTTTGGTGGTTTTGGGTTTTTTTTCTTTCTTTTGGTATTTGAACACATTGAACAGTTTATGGGTCTAGGTTACCTCTATTCTATGGAGGGAATAGTCTTTTCTGGAGGGATTCTTGCCATCCAAACTGCACAGCAGTAGAATGCTACAACAGCAAGTAACTCTTTTTAGTGAGTTTGCACTTGCCAAAACATGCCATCAGGTCTGCATCCCATTCAGAATTTACCTGCTAACCTCTTCAAGAGAAGGAAAAGACAGCTGTACCTTCTCCCAGGCTCCACTTCTTTTTAACAGCACAACTAAGATGCTTGCTTATTTCACTGTCCTCAGCAGACCAAGGAAAGTCCATCAGCAAGGTTCCTGTCCAGGCTAATTCTCTTTCTTTTTCCAGGAGAACACAAGCAGGCAGTAAGTCTATTATTAGGACTTGCTTTCCACAACACAGGGAATCCAAATTTTCTAGAGACATGATTCAGAGCAGTGTCCACAATATATGGTATAACCTCTGACTCTCTGGTAATTCACCAGTGAATTGTGTACAATTTCTCCGCATCCCCTCTTCAACTGGAGACTGTGGGACCTAAAACCAGACACAATATTTCATCTTCAGCCTCACCAATGTAAATGCCAGAGAGGTGATACCTTTGCTAGCTATTCTACATGGTGCCCTCCTTTTTGAAATGAGTGTGATGTTGGTTCACATTTGACTTGCCATCCAACATACTCCTCCAGTACTTTTCAGGCTGCTGAGAGCCCTTTCCTAGCCTCCATTAGTGTGTAAGGTTGTTACACCTGAAAGACAGATCTCTTCTCCTTTCCTCATTGGAATTTGTGAAGCCTCTAGTGGTTCAAGATTATCAATCTCACTCTGAACAGCAACTCTACCAATCCCACTGCCAGTCACTCTCCCTGTATTAGTCTGATCCAAAAACTCACCAAGGATGCATGTTGTGTCCTCATCCACAAATGTGGAGGAAGATACTAAAAAGTACAGGCCCCAGTAGGATACTCCATTGTCATCTATTGTGTATAAGCCTCTCCAGCCACAACCTACTCTAGACTACATTTGGTTCAGCACAAATTATTGTACTATAGAGAGACCAGTGTATACAGTTATAAACCAATAGCTGGACAAAAACATCAGGCATCACTCAATTCTTCCCAAGAATCTAGGAGTCATCTTCTGAAACAAATCGCTAAACAACAGTTTACTAAAGATAGAGTTTCCACTATGGTGAGAGCATCCATGCAAGCACTGCATTTTCATAGAACTGCAGAAAACTTGAGCCTGGAGGGCACCTCTGCATATCATGAAATTCAAACTTCCTTCTCAAAGAAAGGATGGTTGTCAAACATTAGAACAGACTGACCAGGGAAGTGGTGTAGTCACCATTCCTGGTGAAGAAATGGATGGACATGGCCCTTAAGTCTATGGTTTTGTCTGGTCAAAGGTTGAACTCGATGATCTTGGAAGTCTTTTCTACCTTTAATCGTTTTATGATTCTGTGAAATTGCTTGAAGTTTTGTCCAGCTGGGTTTTGAGTATCTGAAGGATGGAGACTGCACACTCTTCATTCAGTATTCAAACACCTCCAGAGTTTAAAAAAAAAAATCAGAGTTTTGGGGAATTTTAGGCTTAAATGTAATTTCCTGTATTTTAATTTATGCCAATTGCCTGCTGTGTTTTCACTAGGCATTGGTGAGGACAGCCTACCTCCACTTACTTTAGTCCGCACCTCAGGAGATATTTATACACACTGATATGACCCTCCTGTTCCTTTTCTTCTCTGGGATGAACAGTCCAGTCTCTCTGTCAGCTTCTCTCTTAGGAAAGATGTTCCAAAACTTGGTTCTCCAATGAGGCTGTACTCCAGCAAGTCCATGTCTCTTCTGTACTGGTGATTGCAGAACTGGACCCAGCACTCCAGATTTGTCTCATCAGTATATTGTAGTTGATAGCTTGAAATGTATCTTCCCATCTTTTAGTTGTGATTTCCCCCCTCCCCAGCTTCTCTTTCTCCTAATTGTTTACCTGGCGTCAGGTTACCTTGGTTACTGAAGTTTCTCTCCTCAGCCCCACGGCGAGAGGCCGGATAGAGTAAAGAGAGGACCCCGCTGGCATTTCCAGCTGCTTGAAGTTTCTTTAGCCCAGGAAACCCTTGTTTCCAACACAGAAGTTTGTAACTCTGTTTTTCCTGTCCCAGAATGCCTCTGAGCTATGGAAGCTGGGAGGGCATGCTTACCTTCCCTTTCTTTCCCCCCTGTGCTGCCAGGAAACCAAGCCCCCCCTCTCTCCCCCTCTGCCCCTCTGTGGAGAATACTCCTACACCTTTGTGGGCATTTGAAGAAGTTGGTGTCTGATATTTCTTATCTTGGTGTGTGTAACCTTGATTTGTAGAAAGTTTGTAAGATGTACTAACTGAGAAAAATAATTGGTTCTCTCTCTGATGTTCCCTCCCTCCGAGAAACCCTGTTAAAAGAGACCCTCAGACCCCAAATCCTTTGTCTCTCGTCCTTTGGATTCCCCTTCACAGAAATAAACTGTGGAATGCAAACCAGAGAGAGAGTCCCCCCCTGATTTCTTTACTCGCTCTATAGACTTGAATTCTTGAAGAAAATCAGTGAATCTCACAAACATATGCTGGCTCAAAACTCGAGTGAAGAGAAACCTCATCACTGAGCTAGCCGGGTCACACTCGAGAAGATCAAGTCATCAGTACTGAACAGAGAGGAAGAATCCAATCCCTCAACATGCTGTAACACTCTTCTTACACAGGAAGCTGTTGGACTAATTTACCACAAGATCACATTCTGTGTTGTGTTCATTTTTTTGTCCATCAAGGCCTTCCGTTTTTTTTCTGACAGGAGAAGAAAAAGGAGTTAAAGCTCTAATTTTTCAAGGTAATAAAACAGCAATATTTTCAGAAAGTGTTTTCTTTGGAATCTTTTATTTTTGAATGGTAAAATGTAACATCAAACACTTGATTATAAACACTTGATTATCTTCAACTACTTAGGCCACACTGATGGAGTATATTGCCTCTGTTTACTCCTAAACTCTGTCCAAACAATCTAAAAACCTCTTTTCAACAGCAAACTTCTTTCCCTCCCACTCTTGCAAGAAAAAGCACTGGTTTTATTTTGCTATGTCTGCAAAATACCTGTACCCATCTTCACTGGCCTACTGTAAGCCTCACTATTGCTTTCTTCCCTCACTTTTAGCAAATAATCCTCCTTTTCCTTATGAAACTCTGTCCACTTCCTTCTGGCCTCAGTCAAACACTAAGTTGTGAAATAGCTGCAGTTCAACAGAACCACTATGAAATCTTCACACTGATGCAGGCATGCTTTGCTGAGCCTCCAAAGTACAGCTCTTTTTAAGTTAATACATGGCTGGTGGAGAATTCATTTCAGGGAGCTTGACACCCCCTCAGAGGATAAGGAACGGTTGCCTACATATGTTCATAGTTGCAGCCTCAGGGCAAATAAAGTACCAAGAGATCCCATAATCTAAGTAAAATATGTCATTTCAGATCATGCCCTGGAAGCTGTAGAAAAGACCACACAGACCATTTCCAGAATTCCAAGCTACCTCATGAACAGCCTTGGTGTGCAGACAAAATGAAATCAGCATCTGCTTGGAAATGGAATGTTATGAACATTTGGCCAAGATTTATTTCCTCTCCTCAGCCCAAAGATAAATTTTTGTTTCTCATGGGGATGCTTGCATTGGATTATTTTTCTTGCAAGCTAAAATCTTGGTCCAGGACAACTGCATGGAAAATAGCTCTGGGCAGAAAAGTATCTACTGGCACAGAAGTTACTTTAAGTCTAGGAAAAATAACAAGACTCTAAGGCTATCTTAAGTATTGGCAGTAACTGTAAGCTATAATCAGCAGGATAAAAAGGAGAAGAGGAGAAAGGAAGGCTAGTAAGTTCAGTAAATATTTAAGTAATCTTGTTGAAGATTGACTACCTGCACAGTTCCATGTTTAACTCCTTAATGTACAGTTAAGAAACATATGTTGAAATCTAGGTGTAGTATTTAATATTCTTCTACTGTTTTCTGATTCAAGATGAAAAATTCACCCAGAATTTGCAGCTGCCTTCTTCAGCAGTGCTGGCCCAGGACCCATGTGCTGTTCCCCAGTCCAGTGCCTGGAGACCTTGGGTCAAGCTGAAGGAGATAGATGCTGCTTTCCCATTTTTAGGGTCAGCCAGAAGTAAAGTTGAGCACATGTCCCAGACAAACACACTGAGCAGGGGACACACACAGGATACTGACACAACTTCAGACAAAGTGCTGCTCCTGCATCCTTCACATTCAGGACTCAGACCAGACACAGACACAAAGAGACATGTGGTCAGAAGCAGGGCTCAGATGGACAAACTCAGCAACAGGCCCCATTTTACATGTCAGCCCCTTTTCTATCCCTTTCTTCCTATTTCTTTCTTCTTCCTCCATGCTCTCCTTTCCTCTGCACATGGCCTCATCAGTTGGCATTGTCTCATTGAACCCCTTCCAATGTTCTGGACATTTGTATTTGCATCACTAGCCACTGCAAAATCCTGAATTGCCTTGCAGTTTTTTGATATTCCATTAATTAGTGCGACAGACAAGTTTGTTTCTGGTTGTTCTGTGGTCTTTGTTAGTGCTAATTAATAATGTTTTATAACTGTGTTTCTTTCCCTTTTTTCCTTATCTTCCCAAGTGAGAAAATAAACATCCTCGCATTCCACATATCCTTTTTAATCAGTGTATCTGACCAGGGTTGTTCTTACCAAGACCTCCCTTATCCCATGTTTGTCTCTGTATGATCTTGTCCATGCCTTCTCTGATCAGATAGCATTAAAGGAGCAGACATTCTCCTCCCACATACCTTTACAGGCTTCTTTCCATCCTTGATGAATGAAGAAGACACCTGTAGATGGTTCTTCTGTTCCTCAAGTAGAAGTCTCAGAAACTGATTGCTGGCCTTTGGGGATATGTGTCTCTTTCCATTACCTTTTAAAGGATGAGGATGACTGGATCATATGCAACACCTAAAGGGAATCCCTCCCCCAGGAAAGGAAAGTTAATTGGGAAAAGCTACAGAAAATGGCAAATTATAAGAAAAGTGACTCATTTAAGAAAAAATACAGTCTACTATGTATTGGAGTAGACGTTGCCTTATATATTATTATTAGATATAAAAACAAGTAAAGAGCAAGGTATTTGTAAAATACTGAAATCCCTGTCATATTGAACCTTAGTTACTTTTTGTGATGTACTGCGAAAAAGGTTCTGTTTTCATGCTTTTGTGAAGTGCATTGCAAAATGTTATTGTATTTTCATTGCATGACTTGTGTTTGAGGATTTTATTAGTATGCTGTCTGGCTCGTTACATCAACACATATTTTTGTTTTCATAATTTCAGACTTCATGACTATTTCTTTGATTGCTTAGTTGGAAGGATTAAAATCATAAAATTCATTACTTCAAGGATTTCTATTTATGGAGATTCGTATAGTCTAGAAACTAAAGGTGTTTGGGGGTTTTCATTCTTGTGTTTATTCTTCTGATCTGTGAGCTTAGGGATGATTAATGAGCTACAAACATAAAATGTCCTTTAAAAGTAATATTTTGCAAACAATATTAAGACACTTTAAAAAACCCCCACAACACAAAAACTCACATAGAACCAAACTGTAAATAAATATTATAGCAAATAAAAGTGTCAGTTCCTCATAAAAACACTTTTAGTACATGTACTTGAAATGTGCAAAATCCTCATATTAATGGTGGGTGAGTCATTATGGTTCAAATAATATATGCATCCAGAAATTGATATAGAGTTACAGAAGTTCTATGACCTGTTTTATATTCAGATAGTTCAAGCAAATCATAAAAGTATCTTTTGGACTTACAGACAAAATGGAGATGCCAACATGTAGTGAGGTTGAAATCTCCTAACAGCTACTCTCCAGAGTTTTCATATATTTCCTGATTTATATCATCTTATTTCTACTCAGAAAATTTTACAAGTGTGCTCTAAGTCTTTGAGCTGCTGCTTAGTTTTACTGTATTTGTACTGCTAGGCAAGAAAAGAGACTTTATACTGACACAGAACTTCATTTCAGTGACACATCTCTATTGACTTGAGTTTAATATCTACAGATGTAGCATGATTTGAATAAATTTCCACCAAAATTTACTGGATTTATTTTTAAGTCTCATCTGTTAGTTAGCCTGCCTTTATTTCCCTTTTCTTTATCCAAGTCTTTGGTATAAGTACAATTGTGTCACAAACAATAGTATTTATGATCAGATTGCTTGCTCTTTGGGATGCCACCAGATAGATCCTGTAGCCAGTGTAGCTGCAGACTAAATAGAACAAATATTTGATTGTCTAAAATAGTAAACTGTGGATATTAGACCTCTAATTATTTAATGAGAAAACCCTAAATGATAAAATTTAAAATGTTAAAATGTCTTTTCCCTGCTTCATTTTATGGATATTGCATGGATGACATAAAATTTCAGTCAAAGCGTGACTCTACAGTTCGGTGTGTTTCAGTGTTTTATCTGGCTTGTCACATTTTTGTCTCTGCTTGAGAACAGTAGCCATAGGACTTCCACATGAATATATATAAACCATAACATTGATTTTACCATGAGCTTCACTGATTTCTTTTTTATAATATTGGCACAGGATTATACCTGGGGAAAGTATGCAAAGACCTGGACTTGAATGTGGGCCCTTCAATATTACAGCACGAGTTGAAGCAGGAAATCTCACATTCTCTAATGAATCTGATCAGAAACCTAAACTAAGGTTATAGACTTTGTGTTTTACTGCTGAAAGCATCTGCACTGAAGGAGCTTGTTAATGATAAAATCTTTATGTATTTTGTGTAATGCATTACTGTAAACCACTAAAATTTAGAGGGCAAATACAGAGGGAAAGAGGAAAGAAAGGAATAAACCCACTTCCTTTTTATTAATATTTTTACTTTCGGTGACGAATGCCACTATTGAGGCCAACAAAAAAATCAACCATATTCTTTGGATTTTAAATGAAGCACTTAAGATAACTCTAGCAGCCATCAGGATCATATTCTGATGTCAGATGGCTTAATTCATAATCAGTTGGCTGTATTATAGATTTCATCATGCCTCTGCAAAATATTACATTTCACAGAAGGTACTCTGTTCTATCAGAGCTATTATTTTGCTCTGATGGTCTCATTATTCCTGCCAACAGGCAAAGTTTAGAAGTTTAGTCCACACTGAAGTGTAAATTATGAAAGTTTCCTTACCTGGCAACAAATAGAATCCATTTGTGCTCAAAATCAATTTGTAGCAGTACAGAAAAAGAAATTAATTTCTAGATAAAATGAAGACTTGCCTCAGTCATTTACATTTATATCAAGACTAATAAACCTTGAAAGTGGCCAGGTATTTTTTTATTGATTCCTGTAAAAAGAATTACTATTTTCAATTGTTTATCAAAAAATGTGGTTTTTTATATATGTACATAAAGATAGATACATTAAAGTGCACACAAATACAAGTGGTGCAAGATGTTATGACGTACATGGGGAGATTTACATGCGTGTATTTTCTTTTCTATGAACTACATATTCAGTACATATATGGTACATTATTTTATATATTATCAAAACAGATATATTTTCAGCCATAGACAAAAGAAAAGTTTTTTTTAAAGTACTAACATCAAGATGGAATATTTTAAGCCAGGAGCTGTAACCTTCTAAATTAACAATGAGGGTACCTGCCATCTGCCTGACTATACGCAAATAGTGTCCAGAATTTAGAATTTCTGGCAAGGTACCAACATTTAAAGTTTGGAATCTCTGCTGAAAACAGCGGTGAACATCTGGGGATAAGAACTATTCATGTATGTCCTCCAGCATGCACGGGTGCAACTGAGAATAAGCGGGTTGCCAGTCTCATAAGATAGCTGTTACATCCAAGTCAAAGCAAAATTATAAACCAGCCTGCTTTGCAAGACACCATGGCACAATTAGTATTCAGCGAGCCTTCTACCCAAGACATCAACTTTTCAGACAGCAGAGGTTAAACAGAAAAACTTATCTCAGTCTTCCAGGCTCATGTATCTTCTATAAACTGATTTACCTAGTGATAGCTGTAATTAAATAAATGAAATTCCCATATCCCAGATGCTCTACATAACATGCTTAAATTATTGTTGAGCCTCTTCATTCTTAACTCCTTAGAATATCTCAATTTCCAGTGTTCTGGTCATCATATTCTGCTCTTTTTGAACACCGTAAAATGAGGAATTATCCAGACTGGACATGTTCAGATGAAAGACTGTTTCTGCAGATGAAAAGTGTAAATCCTAAAAGTTTAATGCATCTATAGCTTCTACATTTGCAAAATCTAATTTAGGATATTGAAAAAGTTATAAAACTAAATCCATAACTGAACTAAAATTAAAAAAAACACAAACAAACAGCTCCTTCCAAATCATAGCATAACTTATCAGAAAACACGTCAAAAAAAGTCTAATATATGCCTCAAACTTGTAGTTCTGTTTGATAAATATAACTTAAAGTTCAGATCTAATGAAATTGTGTATAATTCTGCTTCTTTCTACTCACTGGTCTAGCAATACTGCTCTAAGGTTTTGTTCAATATGCTTATTAAATGAGCAGCTGTCAAGGAAGAAGAAAATACATATTATGATTCAGCCTACTGGTTTTCTTTCCACCAGATTGCATTACTTTTGAAGACAAGGCACATTGTTGACAATCACAAACCTGTCCTCATCATTTAATTGATGGGAGGCATCACAGTCAGGAAAAGATGCAATGAAAACTCTTCTTTAAATTCATTTAAATGAATGGATGCATTTCCATCAATGTGATCCAGACCTTTCAAGAGCCAGGATGAGTGCAGGCATTTCAGAAGACCTTGTCAGTCCTTCCTCATCTTTACGGTGACTGTCTGGTTGTGTTGCCTTTGAAGTTAATAAGAGAGAACAGATACTTTTCCAACAATGTGATGAATCCAAAACCAAATGGCCATGACTTTTCTTCTTAGTAGGTTAGAAATAAAGATAGCCAGAGGAGTTTCCAAAAATACTTCTCTCCAAATTTGTTCCCAACAGGACAAGAGGAGAATACAGACAAAAAGGCAACACTGGCTTCTCTTTAAATTATAGGCTACTTATCTTTCATTTTGCCTATGCAAACTCTTTACATATAGTGGATGCTTTTAGGGAAAATCAAACACTATATTTTATGCTTAAAAGCTTTATGCACTGTCTAAATTGTTATTTCATTTGCCTCTTAAGCACCATTAAAAACACACTTCAAAATATTCTCCTTTTGAGCTGCAAGAAATGAAATTTTCAAATAGCACTGCTTAATTGACATCTGCAGTTATTTGCCTCCATTAATTATTTATTTAAATGGTTTTGGTGAATGTTTGCACATGTAGCTTTCAAATCTATTTTAACTGACAATAAATTAAGTTCATTTTTTCTGGATCAAGTGTGTTTTGCCCATGAATGTAGTCAGTGTGAGTGATGTCCATGTCTTTATATTGACCCATGAGCTTTTAATCTTATTTTCTCCCCCTGCCTTGTTGAGGAGGCAGAGAGAGAGAACAGATGAGTTCTGGCAGGTAGCTAAGGTCACTACACCACAGAACTCAACAGCATTAAACATTTAAAGTTTCAAAACTGAAAAATATACAAAATTCCACAGTGGTCAAAGAAAAAAAAAGAAATATCTTTCAAGCTAAACTGAGGAAACTATCAAAGTTTCCATCATTATGGTATTTTATTATTTTCTTGTAGAATGACAGCAATAAGGCAAATGATAGTAGTCATGTAGTCAAATGTCAGTAGTCAAATGGTAGTCAAATTTGTTGGGGAAAAAATAACTATATCCAGCCTATAAAAAAAATCATAAAATCACTGCAAACTGTGTGAAATTGTATTTCTTACATGCTTCAGAAGAGAAAGGCTGAATTGTAGGAGTGTTAATTAGAATGTGCTATATATATATAC